TTGTTTTACAATAGTGTGTTAGTTTCTGCTTTATAACAAAGTGAATCAGCTATACATATACATATATCCCCATATCTCTTCCCTCTTGCGTCTCCCTCCCTCCCACCCTCCCTATCCCACCCCTCTAGGTGGTCACAAAGAACCGAGCTGACCTCCCTGTACTATGCAGCTGCTTCCCACTAGCTATCTATTTTACGTTTGATAGTGTATATGTGTCCATGTCACTCTCTCACTTCGTCCCAGCTTACCCTTCCTGCTCCCGTGTCCTCAAGTCCATTCTCTAGTAGGTCGGTGTCTTTATTCCCATCTTGCCCCTAGGTTCTTCATGACCATTTTTTTTTAGATTCCATATATATGTGTTAGCATATGGTATTTGTTTTTCTCTTTCTGACTTACTTTACTCTGTATGACAGACTCTAGGTCCATCCACCTCACTACAAATAACTCAATTTCGTTTCTTTTTATGGCTAATACTCCATTGTATATATGTGCCACATCTTCTTTATCCATTCATCTGTTGATGGACACTTAGGTTGCTTCCATGTCCTGGCTATTGTAAATAGAGCTGCAATGAACATTTTGGTACATGACTCTTTTTGAATTATGGTTTAAATTTATTAAAAAAATAAAGCCTATAACAGTATTCTGCTTTATTTATATGACTTTAACACTTTCGTTTTATAGCATGAGTTGCATTGACTTTTCTACTAGAAAATTTTACTAGATCTTTGTCACTCGTTTTCATCTGCTTTATTATTGATACACCTTGAGAATCACTTTTCTAATACTTTACTATAATGTGGTACCACCTCAGCCCTATTTTAGTAATATTTTTACCTAATGTCAAAAATCTTTTTCCAACTAACTAAAAGTAAAACTTATGTACAAAAGGACTGCTTGTAAATATGCAGGTAAATAGTTCTGTTAATAACATAACAAACTGTTTTACATTTGGAACATCTTTGCTAATACAGTTAGCTTTCCGTTTGTTCGGTCTGGATTAAAATTAGAATCTAAGGTGGGGCTTCCCTTGGCTGCTCAGTGGTTAGGGATCTGCCTGCCAATGCAGGGGACATGGGTTTGAGCCCTGGTCCGGGAAGATCCCACATGCTGCAAAGCAAATAAGCCCCTGCTCCACAACTACTGAGCCTGTGCTCTAGAGCCTGTGAGCCACAAGTACTGAGCCTGAGTGACATAACTAGTGAAGCCCGTGTGCCTAGAGCCTGTGCTCCACCACAAGAGAAGCCACTGCAATGAGAAGCCCACGCACCGCAACGAAGAGGAGACCCTGCTCGCCGCAACTAGAGAAAGCCCGTGTGCTTTGGCAACGAAGAGCCAATGCAGCCAAAAATAAATAAATAAATTTATTTTAAAAACCCAAACTGAATCACTTTTATTGCCACATACAACCACCAGCAGTAGTATATATCCAGGGCTGTCTTTAATTTCCTTCTCCCCTTTCTAAGGCTGGGGTTACATATGCAAATTCCCCCCCCCTGAGTTTTCCTTTTATCAGTGTAGACACAGAAAAACTTATACCCTATAAAAACCAACTGTAAGAAGTCATTTTTGAGGCAATCAGGGAATTTGGAATACAAGTGACTGGGTGATGCCACCAAGAGATTATTATTACCATTCAGGTGCCTGGATGGCACTGTGGTTATGTAGGAGAAAAGTCTGTGTTTTTTAGAAAGTGCATACACATAAAGATACAGGGATGAAAACACATGTTGTGTTGAGTTTCTTTTAAATTAGCACAGCAAGAAGAGGAGCGTGAGTGCGGAGGGGAGGAGTAGAACATTGATTCCTGAGACAAGCTTGCACTCATCCATCCTGGGGCTGCTCATCTACCTTTTTTTATTTTTTAAGTATAGTTGATTTACACCATGCCACTTCTTTTAACTGGGATTCCTAGCACAACCTGCACAGCATCTGCCAGTGTCTGATCCATCCTGTGATGTACAAAAAACAAACCTGCTCTACCACGGGCTGCTAAGTACAAAGTCTTTTCAAAGATTTGAATCTTGGCCCTACCTTTGGGCTGTGTAACCTTGGGAAAGTCACTGAACCTCTCTGAGCCTCTATTTCCTTAGTTAGGAACTAAAAGAATGATGCCCCCTCCCCAGGGGACGGCTAAAAGATCGATTAGCCAGGCCCTGGTGCACAGTGAGTACCCACATGGTGTCACCAGCATGAGCAAGCACAGCTCTGTGCCACTCCACAGACTCTCATATCCACTCAGGGGCAGGGGCGACACTCTGTGTCCAGCATCCTCAGTCACAGTGCAGGCCCCTGTGCAGAATGACCGCAGTCAGTCCCGACCCCTTAACTCTAGCATCAGCTAAAGTTATCTGAGCCCTCACCATGGGCCTTACTTGTATTCCTTCATGTAAATTTCACAACATGGTACAGCAGGTACCATCATGATCCCCATCCTACAGATGTGGTATCCGAAGCTCTAAGAGGTCAGCTACCTTGCCCAGGGTCACAGAGTAAGTAAGCTGTTGGGCTTGGAGGTCTGCCTCCATACTGTGGGTCCTCCTACTCCTAGGTGGGCCAGTTTGCCTCCCCAGATTGTGAGAACCTCCAGCACAATGGCCAGGTGGGCTTTCACAGGCCTTCCCACATTGCTGTCCTTTACATGCAGCAGCCAACATAGGCTTATTGCTTGAAGCACATATAGGTACAAGAAGACATGGCAGGGACATTATTTTCACAAGAAAATATCCTCTCTTCATTGCCAACACTCAGATGATAACCATCTTTATCTTCTCTCCTGGGCCCTCATGAAAAATAATTACTAAAAAGATGGAAGGAAATGGGAGGCAACATGGTATGGTCACTTATAAAGATTTAAAAAATTATCTCCATTAATCCTCACAACAATCCCAAGAATTAGGTACTGTTGTTATCTCGATTTTGGAGATAAGGAAACAAAGGCTAAGGGAGAATAAGTAACTCAGGTTAGCCAGGTAGCAAGTGGGGAGAAAGCAAGGTTTCTGATGTCAGTAGTTTGGCTCCAGGAAGTGCTATCCTGAGAAGGTAATATCTTGGTCAAAGACAGAGGCCGTCAGATTGCAATCTCTTACCATCTTTTTGAGAGTGTATTGGCCAACCAAACATTTTTTTAAAATTTATTTTTTGGCTGCGTTAGGTCTTCGTTGCCGCACGCGGCCTTTCTCTAGTTGTGGTGAGCGGGGTCTACTCTTTGTTGTGGTGCGTGGGCTTCTCATTGCGGTGGCTTCTCTAGTTGCGGAGCACGGGCTCTAGGCACGCGGGCTTCAGTAGTTGTGGCACGTCGGCTCAGTAGTTGTGGCTCACGGGCTCTAGAGCGCAGGCTCAGTAGTTGTGGCACACGGGCTTAGTTGCTCCGCGGCATGTGGGATCCTCCCGGATTAGGGATCGAACCCGTGTCCCCTGCATTGGCAGGCAGATTCTCAACCACTGCGCCACCAGGGAAGTCTCCAACCAAACATTTTAGCTGTTTTCTTACCCATTCTCTGGGAGCATGAGGCAGGGGGTAGTTATCTATTAGGCATAGTACATGAGGTGACGAGGGTCCATGATACAATTGGGGCCCATGAACGTAGTTTAGTTTCTGATATAAAATAGGAGTAATGAGAATGGTGGTCATGCAGGTAAAATTAAGATACGTCACAAACATTGTCAAGCATAGGGTCCATTGTTAGAAGCTAGTGTTAATATTTAGAATATTAACACATCCTGAAGCATCCACAAAACACTCCTTGCAGGAAGAATCTCAGGGCCCTCAATCTGGTCTGGCTCTCTGTATTTGACAATAAATAAAATGTATTTATTCCGCAGCAAGAGCTCAGGAAGATATTTCTAGAAAAGGGAGGTTTAGAGGAAAAGGGGAGGAGGCAGCAGCAGGAAAGGGAGGAATTCGACCAGGTCCACAGCACTCGCCCAGCACAGGGAACAAGTAGGCTTTTGAAGAAGGTCTATAGCCAGACACATCGCAGAAGTTGCATTATCCGTAGTCAAAACCAGGACAAAGAGGAGCCCTTGCACTTTATGCATTCTCAGATGCTCTAAGCACTGTGCAGGTTTCAACTTCTGCAATCTGATGTGGATTCATTACTAAAAATCTACAGGCCATGGACTTTCTTAAGGGGTGTGCTAGGTTGGTCTGTACCCCTGTAGTGCATCTGAGCACCCTGCATACTCATAACAAGCTCCTGTTCCTGGAGACCCTGGGTGAGTATGGTGGACTCTAACTTTAGCCTCATTGCAAAAATTCAGAGCAAGCAAACTCCTAGCTAATAATACGGTTGACCCTTCAAATACACGGCCTTTGAACTTGCAGGTTTTTGGTGTTTTTTTTTTTTTTTAATTTCAATAAATATACAGGCGGCCCTCCATAGCCATGGGTTTTGCATCAGCAGATATGGAGGGCCGACTATGGGACTTGAGCATCCGCCGATTTTGGTATCCGCGGTGGGTCCTGGAACCAATACCCCGCGGATACCAAGGGGCGACCGTATTACTTTGATTACTGTTCCCTTCTTGGTACTGGCTGCTGGATATGGAGGGCTCGGTCAAGAGATAGTCCCCAAACGCTCTTACCCTCCACAAATCGGGCACAGCCCCATGGTCTGGGAAGGCGCCCGACCCAGTGCGGAGTACTTAGTCAGCTAGGTTGCAACCTGGGACCCGGAGTTCTGCTCTCACGCATGCTCCCTGCCAGCGCCTGGGCGGCGCGCAACATCCTCCGCGCCCTGCCCGCGCCCCCTTAGACGGCCCCTAGACGGCCGACGCCCTGCCGCATGCGCACATCAGCTAACCCAACCCCCAGCAGGCTGTGGTAAACCCACAGAGGGCGTCATACCAGACTCCCTGAAACCCGAACAGACGCCAGAGGAGCCTTAACGTGCCGGATCGTGGACCACCGCTCTAGCCTTGAGTCGTGAGCCGGGGGTCTCCGGAGATCCAAAGCAGCCTCCGCTGAAGCTCACAGCCTCCTCGACAGCAGTCGGGACATGGAGCGTCAGCAGCAGAGCAGCCACGATGCCTATGACGTCACGGATGCAGCCGTTGCCGGATTCTTCAAGCTGGGGGTCGACAAGGAGCGGAAAGAAGCGAAAGGTCAGTGGCGGGTGGGGCACTCGCTTTAGCCGATTCCAGGAAAGGAACTTTCCCAGGGCGGGGCGAACGGCAGGACCCCACTCGGACGCAGAGCCGGGCTCACTCGACGGCCTGATCTTTCTCTTTGGGTTTCCTCCCTTGCAGAGGTGAAGCCCGCGGAGATCTCGCCTCCCGGAGAGGGGGGAGAGGAGCAGAAGGCTCAGTCCGAACCGGAGCAGGGGGCAGCCGCGGAAGAGAAAGAGGCGGGAGACGAAGGAGAAGGAAAGGAAGGCTGCGATGTCAGCGTCGGAGCCGCCGGCCCCGCGGACGGCGAAAGCCGCGAGGCCGAGGCCGAGGCGGGCAGCGGCGAAGGCGGAGAGCAGGGCGGCGAGGAGCAGCCCCCGCGGGCCGCCGTCGAGGGTCCCGAGGCCGCAGACGGGCAGTGGCGGGCCCCCCACGCCAGGCTCACGCAGGTGCAGGTGCAGGACCTGGAGCGCGTCTTCCAGCACACTCAGTACCCCAGCGCGCTCGTGCGGTAAGCGGGCGTCTCGGGTGGCGCGGGCTGCCGCGCGGGTGGCAGGCGGCGCTCTCGCGAGTCCCTCTCCTCGGCTCCGGACCTGAAAGCCCCGGGGCCTGGCGGAGGCCCGCCCTTCCGGCGCACTCGGGGCCTAGGACGGGGGCGGGGGCTCTGCCTGGTGGGAATCGATGTCGATATTTCCGTGCGGTGTTTGAATAAGTCACGTTGGGGAGCTTTGTGTGCCGCCGGTTAACATAATGAGTCGCCTGAGGCGTGGTGGAGCAAATGCAGAGTCGGAGTCTACTTTTATCTGAAGATTTTATCATCAGTTATTCATGGATTATATTTGCATTGATATTTGTATTTTAAAATAGTGGTTTTGAAAATTATTTATCTTGACTAGTGATTTTTCTGCATTCCCTTAAATTTTGCTCTTGTGAGAAAACTGTCTTTAAAGCAAGCCTCAAGCTACAGATTACAGAATAGTGTACTAGGTCGGCGCTGGGGAGTTGGTGATAAATTTTTTTTAAATAAGCTCAACCAGCGAATGAACAGCATTTTGTGCCGTCCTTTCGTATCTACTAGGACGTACTCCAACCTGTTCATCACTGATAGATTGATCCAGCAAGCGAGCTATTTTAAGGTCTAATTTAATCATAAAATGGGCAAGAGCGATGATTGAAAGTTGGTAAAGATATTTTGTCAGAGATTTTTATTCATTTTTGAAGTTGGTAACACAAAAAGAAACTGGATTAGAATTTCATGTGTTTTTGGCAACTGTGCCTCCTTTACTAATGAGACTTGGCTTTCCTTAAATGCTTTGTCAACTTATTTTCACTGTATAACCTGAAAATGTGTGAGTTTTCGTACTGCAGAAATTGGTTCTTAAAATAAGTGACTGACATTTTCCAGAAAAGAAATTTTTTAAAGGATGAAATAGCATCCTATATTCAGTTTCATCCACAACCCCCAATGCTGAACACTTCCAATTTTCTCCCCTCAGACAGGAGCTTACAAGGTGCATGGGTGTGACTGAAGACAAAGTGAAGGTCAGTAAACCTGAAAAAAGCACCTTGGCAGGGCAGCCATTCTAAAACCTGGTTTGGGACTTGGACACCTTTGTTCTGGACATTCTCACGTCGGTTTGTTTTTGTAGCCGTTTCCATGTTTGGGAAATAAGGGTTGAACTTTGGGGTCTTGGTTGGAGGTAAATGGGAAAAGTAAGCCCCAGGTTTTGGAAATTGCCCATAACCAGAAGATTTTAATTTCCTAAAGGAAAAAAAACCTACCATAGTATATTATTCCTTGTATATACAGGTGAATATATATACAAATATATATACCTTTGTGTAGACTATACCTATATAAACTTATATACTATATGGCTCTGGATTCTACACACACACTCACACACACAAGTTCAATTCCTTCTAACACTGGTATCCTTTAGGTACCACTTCTGTGTGGAGTCACACTGAGGTTAAGTCTGAAGGGGCAATTATTCAAATTAATGCACCGAGGAGTCCAATTATATTAAATTATTTAAAACCAAGCATAAGTGCTTTGCATAATGAGTGAATATATGAATACTTAGGCATTGGAGTGAGGGGATAATTCACACTCAGAACACAGCGGACGAGCAACTGATGTATGTTTAGTTAAGCTGACGCTGATGCAGAGGGGAGAGCGTAGAGTCCAAGTCCGCTCCTCCCGCAGCTCTTCTTTCGTTATCTTTTCCGCAGAGAGTGGTTTCTTGCTTTTAGAACAAAATAAGATGCTCTCGGAACTTTTGTTAGCGAAGAAAATACTTTTAGGACTTTAGAATCTTTTAGAACTTTTGTAAAACCCCGTTTTGTCAGCTGATGAGGGAGGCGCTTGAATGTCGAACAGTTACCAGAGGCGAGGGCCCGGGCTGGGTGGCACAGCTCACAGGCTTCGGGTCCCCGAGCTGTCCCACTGGAGGCAGCTCGCTGCCTAGGGCAGGGCTTGAGGGGCAGGTCTGACTTCCTTGCCCTGACGCCCGGGGTGCCCTTCTTCTTCAGCACCCACTCAGGGCTCTTCCTCGCCACCCCCGCCTCACAGTCCTGCACGGGACCCTGTGCAGGAGACACAGCTGGGGGCTGAGGGCTGGAGCGGCCTGGCTGGCGCCCAGGTCAGTCCAGGCAGGGAAAAGGGTGAGCTGCCCCCCAGCTGAGGCGTCCTCAGATGCCCTTTTACGGCAGCCTCCGTGCCTGGACCCCGTTCCTGGTGACATCCACTGGGACCAAGCAGCTGTGTCTAGGAGGGCAGGAGGTGAGACGCCCCCTCACTGGCGGGTGTCTGCACAGTAGGTGATCACTTGTTGCGGGTGCATACGTCCTTGCCTGGGGACAACCTAGGCCAGGATCAGCCCACGAGAGCCTGGCAGTGTCCTGGGAAAGAGAGCCAGAGGCCCCGTGCCCAGTGCTGCCACGTAAGGCCCAGCCTGGTGTAGACCAAGTAGGGGCTCCCAGCAACTACAGATGTCTGAGGTAGGAAAACAAGGCTGCCCAGCTCACGGCAGCCCCGACAGGGATCCCCCAGGGCTGACCTGCGCTTCCAGCCCAAGGGCTGAGGAGAAGAGGTCCCCCTGCCCACCCCCCCCCCGCCCCGCCACACAGCCCCATGGGAGAGAGGCCGTCTCCTGCTGGAGTTTCTAAGTGTTTGGTAAAGTAGTGGAGAGAGTGGCAGCCCTAAACCCTCATTTTCTGGAATTCTTTGACATGCCAGCCTGAAAGCATTGCTAACATAGTAGGTTTTGCATTATAGCGGAGGTGGGAGGGTGAGTTGCAACCTTTGAAATATGTCTAAAGAACAAAACAAACTAAAACAACAATTTCAAACAAAGTTCCACCGACCTGAGAAAGGTGGAAGTTAGGCAAGAGTTATACAGAGTGGAACGTACGCCGTGAGGATTCCTCACACGTTCAAAGTTTTGAGACTACCAAATGCATTCATGAATAGTCTCTTGAGGAATTTCTGACGCCTGAGGCTTTTCTTCCTTTTCGTGGTACTGTTACGAAGAGATGGGGTGTGTGGAATTTGTTGGTAGTGGAGGATGACTTAGTTCAGGCAGGATTCTTACCTGTGGTAAGGTGAAATACTTATGCTCTTCCAGTGATGACTAGTTTGTGAGTCAAAGGATCAGGAGTGATTATTTGAGACTATAGAAAAGCCTAAGTTACATCAAAGGAGTATTTGGTGGTGGGGGGGAGAAGAAATAAAGAAAGAAAGAGAGAAAAAGAAGAATCAGGATGGGTTCACTAGCTTTGCTGCAGAGAGCGTGTGTGAGGGCAGTGATGGACACGGGCTGCAGAGCTGGTGGTGGGGTCTGGAAAGCAGTGCTGGCGGCCCAAGGCCACGGGCTGGGCTCACGGTCAGGTCTGGCCAGGGCTCGGGAGGCCCAGGCCTCTGCTTTCTCAAGCAGGCAAAACAATCTCAGAGGAAAAGAAAAACTGAAGTTTTGGTGGCTTGCTTCTCCTGGGTTTACGTAGTGGTCTCTTAACGGAGTTCTGAAGGGAAAAAGAGCAACAAGAAACAAATGAAGAAAACGGGAGGATGTTTTCATCTGTTTCCAAACTCTACAGCATGAGTGTCCCAAAGAAACATTTACTGGAC